TGCCCAGTATTGCAAATGACTCAATCTGTCTGGCAGAGCTTTAGGCATAATCATTGGTTTGTCCTTGCGACCATGAAGACGAAGCAAAGGTGCAGCAGCGCCACCCAGTGGCTAACTCATCCCACAGCTCCTGGGAAATAAACAGGATCCAGACATTCACCGCGTCCCTCCCGGCCGCGAGTTGCCCTCGCGTGCCTGAAAGAACGGAGAACTCAACTTCTCAACTTCCGCAGCATTGAATCCATCATAGGTAGGTCTTTGTACTTTGCTTACCTTCTTTCCGGAAAGAACAGACTATTTATAGGGCAAGGAAATGAAGTTTGGTGTACGTTAAGGACCCTTGGCTCCTTTTGGCCGATCTGTATCAATGGATGTTATTTGTAAGCGGTGAGCTAATCCCCTGCTTTGTGAAAGTTAAGTAGAAATTTATGAAAGCTAAAGGAACATTATCACAAACTAGGTGGCACAAATTATCCTCTCCATGAGGAGTGTAGAAAGTCTAAGGAGTCCAAGGGGAATTTAATTTCTGAATATGCTAAATGCACCTCGCTGTACCACTCCCTACATGATAGATTGTCTCTCTCCCCGCCCTCCCCCAAGTAGGGAATGGTATTTTTCTTTTTCTAGGTATATAGCAAACAAACTTCTGGTAAATTTATCGTTCTTTGTAGCTGCTGATTATTATTATTTTTTAAAGATTTTATTTGTTTGTGAGAGAGAACGTGCGCAGGAGCAGGGGAGGGGCAGAGGGCGAAGCCGACTCCCCGCTGAGCAGGGACCCCCCCCCCCCATGCGGGGCTCATCCCAGGACCCTGGGATCATGACCTGAGCTGAAGGCAGATGCTTAACGGACTGAGCCACCCAGGCGCCCTGTAGCTGCTGATTATTATGCACATTTTATTAAAAAATAATACTTGACTGGAGATTTGAAAAACACAGAAAAGTAGAAATGAAGAGTGAGGGGAAAATACGGTTCATAGTCTCTCTGCTAAACACAGCCCCTGCTACTGGGGTATTACTCAGTACACATCTACACTGAGCACAGACTCTGGAGCTAGATTTGCCTTGCTTTAAATCTCATCTGGGCCACGTAGTAACTGTGAATTGGAAGAGTTACTTCATCTTCTCAGTGTCCTAGTTCCTCATCGCTGGGATGGGGATAATTAATAGCTTTGTCGCATGGGGTTGTTGTGAATAATAAATTAATTAATATATGCAAAGTTTTCAGAACAGTGCTTGTATATCATGAACACTGTATTTGTTAGCTATTTTTTCCCCACTCCTTCATTTCCTCCAGCTCCTTACTGCTATCAGAGGTTAGGCACCAGGCACCCTGCTAGAAACAAGTATTTTTGTTTCTTTCCAATTTTTTTCTCCTGCGGTTTCTTTCTGTTCTTTCTTGCTTAATAGCTGAAACTGTACTCCAAATATAATTTTGTATCTTTAAAAATTATACTGTAATTTTATTCATTAGTACAATTTTAAATGATTGATAAGTAGTATTGCTTTTTCTCCCCCAAAGATTTATTTATTTATTTGGAGGTGGGCAGAAGGTGAGAGAATCCCAAGCAGGCTCCCCGCTGAGCATGGAGCCCACATGGAGCCTGATCTCAGGACCCTGAGATCACGACCCTGAGATCGCGACCTGAGCCAAAATCAACTGACTGAGGCACCCAGGCGCCCTGGTAAGTAGTATTGTCTTAATGCTACTGTTTAGCCTGGTATAAGATGATGACACAATTTGGTTAAGTGGACTTTACTGACATGCAAAATGAAAGGAAAATTTTTTTTTTCTTTTAAAGATTTTATTTATTTATTTGAAAGAGAGAGAATGAGAGATAGAGA